TTGTTAGTCATTTGGGATGCTGTGGCGAGGCCTTGATGGTGATGGGGAGGATAGCAGGCCAGTCCTCAGGCACATTGGTGGCCCACACAAAGTACTAGCACTGGCAGCACTAGACCAGGCTTGTCAGTTTTTGGTGGCAATAGAGTGCCTGAGTAGGCTGGCTTTTGGGCCTCCAGGTGGTGTGTGCTGGGATCAGAGTGGCAGTCATGGGCCAGCCCAAAGGACCTTGGTGACACTTGTGGCACTGGAGATGACAGTAGCAGCTGGGCCTGACCTTGGATTCTTTGGTCACATGCATGGGCACTGGTAGTGATGAAAGCAGGCTGTATGGGCATTTCTCTCTGGCCCTCTATGAGGAACATTTAGGGGGATTCCTTTGGCAGTGTGTGGAGCAGGCTTGTCCACAGGCTCACTAAAGGGACGTGCAAGAGCCTTTGTCAGTGGCTGTTGAGGTAGCCCTGTCTTCATGCTCCTGGCCGGCATGTGCAGGTACCGGTGGGGCAGTGGGACTGTCCTTGGTGGTAGTGGTAGACGGGGCCTGGGTAAATACACGCAGGCCTGGGTGAAGTGGGCTGCTTCTCAGGGCCCTGGACAGTGTATGTGAGCACTGGCAGCAACAACAGCAGCAGCAAGCAAAGTGACCTTGTCCTCAGGCTTTCATATGGCTCACATGGGCACCAGCCCTGGTGGGTTCGGTAGGCTTGTTCTCAGGCTCCGGCATGGTACACTTGAGTGGGCCAGTCCTCAGGGCTCCTAAAGGTATACACAGGTATGCACAGCACTGCCACTGAAGAGCACAGGCCTGCTGTTAGTGGCAGTGGTGGCAGTCAGGTGGCTCCCAGGCTCTGGAGAGCACCCACTTAGGATCCCTTTGACCTAGAGTAGTTTCCCTGGTGGGCTATTAGGTGACAATTTATTTCCACAAGTATAGGGTGCTGTGGGGCAAGGGATTTGGGGGAATCTGTCCTGGCTTTGAGATAATCCTGGCTGGGCTGGCTACCTCAGTTCTCTTTCCTTCTGTCTTCAGAGGATCCCCATCAATTTCCTGCTGAATTCCAGTGTGTTCTCTTTGATGTTTTCCTCAAGTTATGTTTACCTACTTGCTGTTTTGGTTTTTCTTTTTGAAGGAGGTGAGTGCTGGCCGTTCTGTCAGCCTTCTCGATGATGTCTGTCTGTGCTGTGCATATTAAGGAAGGTATAGCCATGTTTTAAAACATGCACAATCGACCCTATAATTTTAAAATTTTCTACCACTTGAAAAACACACTCATTTCTAATTATTACCCCCCACTTCACACACACATCGCAGTTAATATGGCAGCAGGTTCAGGCTTGAAGCACAATATCCTGTCTTTACCACGTCTGGTAGGGATTCACCCTGGGGTTGTGGTTTCTGTGGTATAACCCTGTGAGTGTATTTCTTGTTAACACAAAGACTTAAGAACTAAAGAGGCAAGTTATCTACCACTCACCCACCCAGTATTCTCCTAAACTGCCATGGACCCTCCTATTGAACAGAGAGAAAATGGGAGTCACAAAGGAAATACTACACCACAGCAATTCTGAAATACAGCCTGTCGTGTACTTCTGCTTCTTTGATTTGGACTTCATGGGAGCCATCCTCTGTGGCTCTTTACAGTACCTTCTTGGCTCTTTGTTATATCCTTTCTTAAGCAGTGACCTGGGTTTTCAGCTAAGTCGTTTTCTCAGCCAGCTTCCTCCCCATAGAACTTCTTAGGTTCTAAGGCCTCTTTTCATTTTTACTGTCTTGCTGTCTTTTAATCCACGCTAGCAAGCAGTGCTATTGTTACTACAGTTCTCTTAATAATTAAGAGTGCTGTGAATTTTACTTGGGTTCTTGTCATTGGAAAAACCACATGTCCAGATCTCTTAGAGATAAGCCCTTCACCTTGCACTTCCTGTGAGGCTGAGTAAGACAGTGCCTTCAGATGTTTATACCCTTAAGATCTTTAAGGGAATTTGAGGAACCACCTTAAATCTTTCAGAGGTCTTAAGAAAGGGTCTTATAGTCACAATCTTGGCTTCACCTTCGGATGGTGTTCCCTGGCCACCCTGGATTCGATTTTATCCCAGAGACCGTTTATCTCAGCAATACAGGTGCTCCTCAAGTTAGGATGGGGTTATGCCTGGATGACATTTGCGTTTGTTATGTAGGATATTTGCAAATTTGTGGACCATTATAAATTGCAAATGTCAGAATTTGGGAGTAGGTTTTCCATTTACAATAAATTCCATTTACGGTGACTTTATTTTTATGCAGCCACCCCCTTAAGCTAAGAGGTGTACTCAACCGATATAATTTTCACACTATTATACGATGTCAGAAAATGTTGAATTGAACCATGCTAAGTTAAGGACTGTCTGTATTTGGGACTCTGATATGTGGAAAGGCTATAAAAAGGAAACAGATACTTAAACCCAGAAAGTGCTGGTTGCTTTATATGCAGTAGTCTTTCTTTAGCTTATCTCTTGCATTGGTTTTACTTTCAGCAGCTGTGTAGTAACAGTGTCCTTTCCTTCGGGTTCCACTATCATTTTCTTCACTATCCTTAAAACCCTTCCTACCAGCCTCTTCGAGGACCATCAGGCTTCCACTCACAGTCGCTTTAAGACTCTTTTTGTTTTCATGCTTATTCTTCTGTAGGTCCTTTTAACTTCTGCTTAGCTCCTGGTCCAGGGGTAATCCTACATGTTTTAGTAGTTTTTGTTATTATGCAATCTATATGCAGTGTCCGTATCTGTATCGGTTACTTCTTGGTATGTAACAAAATGTCGTGTCTCAAAACATCTATTTTGTTCATAAGCTGTAGTTATAAGCAAGGCTCAGTGGGGCCAGCTCACTTTTTCTTTACTTGGCATCAGTTGAGGTGTCTTAAAGCTGGGGACTAGAATCATCTAAAGGCTTGTTCATTCACCTTTGTGGCATTTGAAGCTGCTTTTGGCAGACATTAGGTAGGGAAGACAACTCAAACACCCACCTACATGAGGATGCACCATGTAGTTTGGGCTTTCTCCCAGCGTGGTGGCTACATTTGAAGCACTAGAGTCCCTAGAGAAAGAGAGTCAGGTGGAAGCTGTATGACATTTTGTAACCCAACCTTAGCAGTCACACAGCAGTTCTGCCACATTATGTTCACGAGAAGCCAGTTATTAATGCCAGCTTGTATTCAGGAGAGGGAATGTCATGGGAGAAGTGGCAAGCAATTTGCAGATGTTTCGGAACCACCACTTCACTTACCTTTTTAAAATAAAAGAGTCCTAGTCATTTCCTCTAAAGGAAAGCAGTTCTTTCCAACTCAGCACCACGGAAATTTCAGGGAGATTTTTCGTTGTCATCGTTTAATGTGCTCTCTTATTTCGTGTAAAGCAGCAATGAATTACAAGACTGTGCTACTTACTAAATTAAGGCATTTTTATTCAGAAAAGTGGTACGGATCATGCCATTCAACTTTTATACTGGGAGATGTGATTGCTTCTTAATACCAAGTGTCATTACTCCTTGAAATGTAATTCAAATTAACTTAAGACATTTGCAGTTCAGCAAGAGGCTTGTGGTGCTGGAATCCACTTTTTTCAAGATTTATTAGAGTCTTATTTTCAGAGTCTTATTATGGGAGCCATGTCTTGACTGAGGCCCAAGTAATTTAATATGACACCCCTAAAACTTCCATGCAAATTACGGGAATGACATTGGGTTAAAGGACTAAGAGACTTGTGCTATGGGGGTGACTTAGAGCCATTTTAAGGAGGAAAGCCATGAAATGATCATAGAAAAACAGAAGTCTAAGATCAAATCCAAATGTTATGTGGAAAAAATGATGAAAGTAAAGGATATATTTTTGTGAATTCTGGTGGTGGTTTTTATTTATTTTTATTGCATTTTAGGTTTTGGGGTACATGTGAAGAACATGCAAGGTAGTTGCATAGGTACCCACATGGCAGTGTGATATGCTGCCTTGTTCCCGCTCACCTATATCTGGCATTTCTCTGCGTGGTATCTCTCCCCAACTCCCCACCCACCGCTGTCCCTCCCCTATTCCCCTCAACAGACCCAGTGTGTAGTGCTCCCCTCCCTGTGTCCATCCATGTGTTCTCATTGTTCACCACCCATCTATGAGTGAGAACATGCGGTATTTCATTTTCTGTTTTTGTGTCAGTTAGCTGAGAATGATGGTCTCCAGGTTCATCCATGTCCCTACAAAGGACACAAACTCATCATTTTTGATGGTTGCATAATATTCCATGGTGTATATGTGCCGCATTTTCCCTCTCCAGTCTATCATTGATGGGCATTTGGGTAGGTTCCAGGTCTTTGCTATTGTAAACAGTGCTGCAATGAACATTATTGTGCATATGTCCTTACAATAGAACGATTTATAATTCTTAGGATATATACCCAGTAATGGGATTGCTGGGTCAAATGGAATTTCTATCTAGGTCCTTGAGGAATCGCCACACTGTCTTCCACAACGGTAGAAGTAATTCACACTCCCAAAATTCTGGTGGTTTTAACTTTGTTTTTAAGTTTCTGAGTAATCCAATGGTCTGTTTTTTATGAATCTACAAGAGTATACGTAATATTTTATTGCAACTGAATTCATTTCAAAAATGATTAGTTTTGTGTTAGAACATTCTCAGTCTACTTTCTTTTATCTTTTTTTCTTTTCTGCCCATGCTAGCATGCAGTGGCACTGTCTCTGGACACTACAACCTCCACCTCCCCGATTCAAGCCATTCTCCTGCCTCGGCCTCCTGAGTAGCTGGGATTACAGGCACCCCCCACCACACCCAGCTAATTTTTGTGCTTTTAGTAGAGATGGGGTTTTTCCATGTTGGCCAGGCTTGTCTCAAACTCCTGACCTCAGGTGATCCATCCGCCTCGTCCTCCCAAAGTGCTGGGATTACAGGTGTGAGCCACCACACCCGGCCTCTGTCTACCTTCTTCATTACCAAAGTATATTGTTTTTTGACTCATGCAGGATGACCTTACAGAAGCACAGAAAACTGCACCTTCACGATGTCCAGATCTGGACGCAGATAATGAAGTTCTTCGGCAGACATTATTCTCTGTGAAAGCATTAATAAGGAAATGTCAAACACTAGAGGAGGAAAATAAGCAGCGGAAACAAGAAATAGTAAATCTCAAAAGTTATATGGAGGTAAGTATGTTAGAACGTGGTGAAGCTGAACAGTATGAGGTGCCGATTGAAGAAAGATCAAGACGGATAGTAGAAGCGTTAAAGGAAATCAGTCTCTCCTTGCAGGTTGGTTTAATTGTCTGCAATGTGCTTTCATTCGTTTCGCTGCAGATTCTATCTCGGATATATCCATCGTATATGTTTTCTGTACTTTTCTTACAGCAATTTGTTTGGCAGACTTCTAGAAGGAAGGTGATATCTGTTTCTCCCTTTAAATATTTTAGTTTCCATCATTCTTCTAACTAAATTGATCTTCCATAATAAGAATTCTCACTAGAAAATCATTGATTACTAAGGCCAGTATGCATAAAAGAAGACTAATAGAAAAAGTAAAAAAAAGAAAAAATTGTGATTGAGAAATTATACCATACTCTTGAACTGCTTTTAAGTTACATGGTTCCATTTTAAAATCTTAACTTGTTTCTGTCATTGTTTGGAGGATTGTTGTACAACTCAGAATCAATCGTTAATTCAGTTGATACTGATGATAAATATGTGAAGCTTGAGCTTCTTTCTTTCTTCACGTACTTAAAATTGTTGTCTGAATAACTGACTCCAAACAAAAGGAAACAAATGCACAGTAATTATTCAGGTTATAATTACTTTAAAATGTTCCCTTTTAATTAATTTTAGACTCAAGCAGCACCTCAGGAACAGTTAGAACAGTTAGTGCAAAGGGTGAATGATATTACCGCAGAAAAAACCCAGATGGAACTCACAATCAAAGACCTGCAATCTGAGCTCTCCAGAGTAAAAACTTCGCAAGCCGAAAGTAAAATTGAATTGGAAAGATATAAGGATATCTACGTAGAAGGAATAAATTTTGTAAGATCCTTGTCAAGTGGACTGAGAAGGCAAGTCAGTATACAGAATCATAGCAAATAAGTTAAGCTCATTAATTTGCCATCCAGAGCATAACTTCCAGTGAGACAGGTTCATGAGATGTGCGGGAAGTGAAAGCTAACTAGACTGTACAATTTTTGAATATTGTAAATGATAAATAGTAAATGAACTTAAACTTTAAGTAAAATAGAAAATAGTAAATGAACTTGACCTTTAAAATCTTAGTCCAGGACAGTTCATGTCACTCCTGTTGTTGGTTTTACGTGGCTCCCCCCAACCCCTTAATATTCTTGTATAGTTAACCCAATCTATTAGGGATTCCGCTAAATATTTGTGAAGCTTCATAATTTAGACAGTGATATCATGATAAAAATTGTCAGTATTCCCTTAATTCAAAATATTAATGAATTTAATTAATTTTTGGAAGATGGCAGCTGAAACCTTGGGTCAAGTATGACAACTCTGGGCACATTCTGGCACTGAGTAAATTCCCTTCACTTGACTGTTAGAGGGCGCCTTGAGAAGAAGCGTCCTGTGTAGTTTTTCCACTCTACGTAAAGACACACTTGTGAAGTACAAAATGATTAACATAGGGTTAAATGGATGTATTACTAAGTGGTAAAAAAAAAAAAAGCACCTCTGTCAGCCTGAGGGGGTGTGTGGAAGACAGAAAGGGCAGGCCCCACCTCTGATGCATGGGCCACAGCGGTCATCGATGGTGCTTTAGCTCTCTTCGATCTCAGCCGTCTTATTCTCCCCTAGGGAAAGTCTCCTTGAATGATTCCTCAATGCCAAATGCTCAATTTTTTCCAGATAATGGGTGAAATATACAAGGGCGGTAAAAACAATTGTTTGAAAATCTCTTTGACTGATAGTTTTTTAAAAATCTCAACTAGTTTACTCAATACAAATATTTCTAGCTTTTATTTTTTTCTTTTAGCTTTTTAATTGTATATATTTAAAGAGTACAACATGATTTATTGTATATATTTAAGGAGTACAACATGATTTCTAGGGGGATTTCCAACAAACAAGTAGTTGTTCCCCCTAGAAATAGATGTACTTCTTTAGACCAATGTTAAAACTATAACTGGATATAGTAGGCATGCTCTAATACATTTTCAGAGTTAAAATATGGCTTACAGTATATTCCATTTACTCTTATGGCAACTTCTGGAAGACTTGAAGTCATTTAGGAATCATTTAGGAAAAAATGAAATACTAAGCATTTGTCTTTTGTAACCTTCATAGAACCATGGAGATGACAGCAGAGGTCAGTGCCCAGCTTACTGCGGAGAAAGAGAAGACCAGATATCCAGCCACTGCTTCTACTACAAGGCCATTCCTAGTGTCACCTTCTGTTGGAAATCTTGGTGAAGGTCTCAACAGAAGACATATTGGAAGAGAAAGCAGGTCTTCAGATGAGAGCATGGAGAGCTTCATGTTGAGGGTTAGTTATATTATCTTTTTTCCTTTGGTGTTTAGATTTCTGATATAATTCTGGCATGTTACTTGCTGAAATACTCAGTTGTTTAATTGTGTTGTGTGTGGTAAGCAAAGGTAATAATTATCTCTGTTAATAAAGAGACAGAAATTTTAGTGATTTTTGAATCCCTGGAGCTCTCATTCACAGGAGATTACTTTTTTGTTAACTTGATTCAGTAACCAAACTGACACATTTTAAATTTCTTTTAAAACCACAATTAAGTTAGATTTTAACAAAGGTATACTTTGATGTGCATGGTCTTACTAATTGATTTTATGACTAAGGTGGCAGTGATGTCTAGAGTCCTTCAGTAGCAAATGTGACCAGACAGAATCAGTTCTATTCTTTCTACCCCAAATGCCATGTAAAGCTGCACATGGACATCTCCCCTGGACCAGTAACAGGAACCTTTTAGTTCAGCCACGTGTTTTGTGACATGGTAAAGCCCTATAAAACTGCATTCCTCAACCATACCTCAGCCTTCCATGGAAACTGCTCTCAGTAACCCAAATGTGACAGGCAAGCAGTCCAAACCCACGTTATCTTGGCCCCTGTGACTTGTAATTTCCATGCTACGCAGACAATGTGTAAACAAATGCTTATCTTGACTCTGTGAACTGCTTAAGTAACAATCAGAATATCAGAAGTCCCCTGGCTCTCGGAGTGTCCGGAGCCCCTCACCCTCATCTCCGCGCAGGAGATGATTTACAGAATCTACTATCCCTCAGAATGTCTGAAACCCCTCATTCCCACCCATGCCCCTCACCCTCACTTCTGAGGTGGTTGTACAGGTATAAAAGGTCTTGACACCCTGCTTTCAGGGCCACGGGTTGGAGAGATGTGAGTCCTCCGTGGCCGCCGGCAATAAAGACCCTGCAATCTGGCATACTTTTGTCTTGGTGTTGACTTTCTATGCTCACTTGACTGTAAAAGTTTCACTCAGAGTAAGTCTATTTCTGAGGATTTCAAAATGGATCCAAGAATGACAAGCTGTGTGAATTATAGAATTGGTAAAGAAAAAAAGGAGTTCAACTATGCTTAACTCAGATTAAGGTATTTGTCTAATATTTGTCCATTTTTCAACTGGAGGAAAATTATAAAAGCTGAGCACAGTGGCACACACCTGTAATCCCAGCTACACCTGAGGCTGAGGGCAGAAAGATCACTTGAGCCCAGGAGTTCAAGGTTTCAGTGTGTAATGATTGTTCTGTAACACTGTAGCACTCCAGCCTGGGCAACATAGCAAGATTCTGCCTCTTACAAAAATTACAAAATCCATAAAACATTTGTATGAACAAAAAAAATAGTTTTCTTTGTGTTTATTTTTATTTTTTAAATTTCTGTCAATGCACATTGGCTTATAGTTTCAGTGGTTTTGTTGTTGTTGTTGTTATTTTGTTTATTGGGTTTTGTTTTGATTTTTTTTATAAGACAGGGTTTCACCATGTTGGTCAGGCTGGTCTTGAACTCCCGATCTCAGGTGATCCACCCCCCCTTGGCCTCCAAAGTGCTTGGATTACAGGTGTGAGCCACTATGCCCAGCCTATTGTTTTGTTTTGTTTTGTTTTTGAGATGGAGTCTTGCTCTGTTGCCCAGGGTGGAGTGCAGCGGTGCAATCTTGGCTCACTGCAACCTGTCTCCTGGGTTCAAGCGATTCTCCTGCCTCAGCCTCCCAAGCAGCTGGGATTATAGGCATCCACCACCACACCCAGCTAATTTTTGTATTTTTAGTGGAGATGGGGTTTCATTATATTGGCCAGGTTGGTCTTGAACTCCTGACCTTGTGATCTGCCTGCCTCAGCCTCCCAAAGTCCAGGCATTACATGTGTGAGCCACCATACCTGGCTTTTTTTGGTGTGTTTTTATGATTTTCTTAATGCACAGAAAATTAGCATAGGCCCACATGGAATGAGGCCTCGACCTTGTTGTGTTTACCTGGCTATTTCATGTCCTAACATATCACAGAAGAGCAAATCTGTGGTTTCTTAGACAGCATTGCAGCCAAATAGCTTAAAAGGCAATGCATTAAATTATTGTTTTAATACATAGATTTCAGGAGCCCAGCTAGCTGAGGTTTTTAATGATATTGTTTGCTTAGGTTTTCTTTTTCTGAAAAACAAATAAGATGATTAGCATCCAGATGCTTCAGTCATGAAATTGTACCACTGGGTACAAAAGGAAAATGAATGTTAAATATATCTGTAAATTGTTAAGCATGATGCCGATATAATGTTCTCATTAGTACTGTGAACCCCCACAATTTGAGACAGGCCTCAGTTAATTGAGAAAGTTTGTTTTGCCAAAGTTGAGAATACATGCCATGACACAGCCTCAGGAAATCTTGACGACATGTATCCAAGGTGGTCGGGGCACATCTTGTTTTTATACATTTTAGGGAGACAGGGGACATCAATTAATATATGTAAGAAGTACATTGGTTCAGTCTGGAAAGGTGGGACAACTTGAAGCAAAGGTAGGAAGACTGGAAGTTGGGAGGGGGCTTCCTTCCAGATAGGTGAGAGAAACAGTGGCATTCTTTTGAGTTTGATTTGCCTTTCTGAAGGAGACAGTCAGATATGCATTTATCTCAGTGAGCAGAGAGGTAACTTTGAATAGAATGGGAGGCAGGTTTTCACTAAGCAATTTCCAGCTTGAGTTTTCCCTTTAGCTTAGTTATTTTGGAGCCCAAGGTATTTTTTCTGCTCACAGTACTTAACAGAAAAGTGAGGTAATGTATCATTTTACAAGATGGTGATGAGAGAGTATAAAAAGCAGATCAGATGCAAGGGAAGATTTTTGAGGAACTATTTTTTCTCAATTTTTTGGGGCCTTTCACTGGCTAGGAAAAAACTGGAGTCATCAACACTCAAGACCCCTTTCCTAAGCTTTTGGGTCCCAGAGGCACTTTGTCCCTGTGTCCTGGGTCTGTCCCTTTTCCCTCTGCTTTCACATCTGACCTGGGATCTCTTTCCCAAAGGCTGTTGCCCTCCACTGTCATTTATGTGGTGAAATAGTCAAGGGTCAGGGAAAGGCTGGAAGAGAATTGGTGCAGGGGGAAGCCACTCCGGGAGTGGAAAGGGGCAGAGACTTCTACCATGTACTTATTTCTAAGAGTTTGAAGATAAAATGACCTTTATTTGAAGTTGTTATACAGAAGTATTCTCCTCTACAGAGTTATGATTTCTTCAGTATAAAAGTAAGCAATTTGTTAAGGAGAATATCTCATTTTTATGTTAACCAAATTGAGGTAGTACGAAAGTATTTGTGAATGGGGTAGAAAGAAATAATACAATCTATTACACTGGTAAGATTTAGCAGAAGAGTTTTTTGGAGAAAAGATAACTTTACAGTAGTAGGTTCTTAGTTTGAGTCATGTAAAAATGTACTTTTACATACTGCTTATGGGTGGCAATATCTAGGGGTTCTTTGAAGAAAGGCTCCCCCTTTATCTGGTATTGAGTTACTTCTTTTATAAGGCCTGGCTGGTAATGCTGTTGTCATGTTGTTATACCAGAGCGACAACAGAAAGTTAACGCCAAGACAAAAGTATGCCAAATTGCAGGGTCTTTGTTGCTGGTGGCCACGGAGGAGGACTCACGTCTCTTCAACCCGTGGCCCCGAAAGGAGGGTGTCAAGACCTTTTATGCCCATAAACCACCTCCTGGGCAGGGAAGGGGACGAGGGGCTTTGGACGTTCCCAGGGCCAGTGGACTTTGGACATTCTGTAAACCACCTCCTGGGCAGGGGTGAGGGTGAGGGGCTTCGGACATTCCGATTGTTACTTAAGTGGTTCATGGAAGTTAAGCATTAGTTTACACATCGTCTGGGTAGGGTGGAAATTACAGACCTTAGTTACTTATTACAAGTTGCAGGGGCCAACATGGCGTGGGTTTGGGCTGCTCGCCTGTCACATCAGGGTTACAGAGAGCAGTTTCAACAGAAAGCCGAGGTATAGTTGAGGTATGCAGTTTCACGGGGCTTTTACCGTGTCACAATGTTACTTACTCTGTAAAGCCTATTTATAATGTTTTTTGTCACAGAAATGTTATGGAAAGGAGGCTCAAAATATTGGTTAACCTGTTAGTAAAAAAAAAATTGACACCTAAAATTTATAAAGGCATTAGATATCATTATCATTCTCGCCACAAACCATCTCAGACCCTTTCTGGGCCTTTAATGAGAGAGTGCCTATTCTACAAAAGATTTAATGAGAGCACTCTAGATAGAGACACTGACAATAAGTTTGAAATATTCCCACACCTTTCATAATTAAGTAGATAACTATAACTTGTCAGATGCTTCAAAAATGGGTACTAATTTCTGAAAAGAAATCAAAGTTGCAAAATCCAAGTTGCAGTTAAATGACTATATTGTTTTCCTAGTTTCTAATTCTAGAGCATTCATTTTAAGGAACTATTCATTAAAGTGAAAAACTGATTAGACTTTTATGAAGGGCAGAGTTTTGATAAGAATGGGAAAGTAATGCACTCATTGCAAAATATGAGTTGACTTGTTTAACCTCTGTATTAATAAGGGAAAACCTCACATTTTTGAAATGACATTGTCCAACAGACCAATATTAATTGTGCTTTTATGAGATTAAACAGCATAACACATATATGTTTTCCTTTACCTAAATTTAAAATATGAATTTATGTGATTTTTTAAAAAGCAATCTTGAAGTTAGGTCTAGTCTCTGAAAGTATTATATAAAGGCCACATTTTGTAATTGATACTTCTTACCATAAGAAGGTCTCTTCTTAAACATTATAAATAATATTTGACTTATTTCAGATGCAGCAGAAGCTGGATAAAGAAATACATTCAGCAGGAGTAATAGGTAAGTTACCCAAAAAAAAAAATTTTTTTTTCTGAGACAGAGTCTCACCCTATTGCCCAGGCTGGAGTGCAGTGGCACAATCTCAGCTCACTGCAAACTCTGCTGCCCGGGTTCAAGCAATTCTCTTGCCTCAGCCTCCCAAGTAGCTGGTATTACAGGTGCCTGCCACTATGCCCAGCCAGTTTTTGTATTTTTAGTAGAGACAGGGTTTCACCATCTTGGCCAGTCTGGTCTTGAACTCCTGACTTCGTGATCCACTGGCCTTGGCCTCCCAAAGTGCTGGGATTACAGGCATGAGCCACCGCAGCTGGCCATTACCAAAATTTATAAATTAAATTTAGATTAAGTAATATATGTGTGAAATAAACTGCAAATGACATCCCTTTTCATTCTTCGGTTAACAGGTCCTACATTAAATATTCCCTCTTACACACATCTAATGATGTGAAAACTCGAACATGTATAATGAAGAGCATACTTATGCCTCATGAATTATCACCTTCCATAGCTTGAAAAAAAAGCTCGAGAAGTCAGGTTCTACACTTTTCTTTTGCCATCCCTATGGGACTGTCAGCCAGCACACAGAAACCATCCTCAGAAAACAAAGGCATCATCAAGTTCTCAGGGTTATTGTAGTGATTTTTTCTTTTTTTTTTTTTAATTGTACTTTAAGTTCTAGGGTACATGTACAGATCTTGCAGGATTGTTACATAGATATACACATGCCATGGTGGTTCGCTGCCTCCATCCCACTCATCACCTAATTAGGTATTTCTCCTAATGTTATCCCTCCCCAGTCTCTCCACCCGCCGCTATACCTTCCCGAGTCACCTGTTCCACAACGGGCCCTGGTGTGTGATCTTCACCTCCCTGTGTCCATGTGTTATCACTGTTCAGCTCCCACTTATGAGTGAACATTTGGTGTTTGGTTTTCTGTTTTTGTGTCAGTTTGCTGAGAATGATGGTTTCGAGATTCATCTGTGTCCCTGCAAATGACATGAACTCATCATTTTTTATGGCTGCATGGTATTCCATGGTGTATATGTGCCACATTTTCTAGTCTATCATTGATGGGCATTTGGGTCGGTTCCAAGTCTTTGTTATTGTAAACAGTGCCACAATGAACATACATGTGCATGTGTCTTTATGATAGAACGATTTATAATCCTTTGGGTGTATATCCAGTAATGGGATTGCTGGGTCAAATGGAATTTCTATTTCTAGATCTTGAGGAATCGCCACACTGTCTTTTACAATGGTTAAACTAATTTACACTCCCACCAGCAGTGTAAAAGTGTTCCTATTTCTGCATATCCTCTCCAGCATTTGTCTCCAGATTTAATGATCGCCATTCTAACTGGCATGAGATGGTATCTCAATGTGGTTTTGATTTTCATTTCTCTAAAGACCAGTGATGATGAGCATTTTTTCATGTGTTTTTTGGCCACATAAATGTCTTCTTTTGAAAAGTGTCTGTTCATATCTTTTGCCCACTTTTTGATGGGTCGGTATTTTTTGTTGTATATCTGTTTTAGTTCCTTGTAGATTCTGGATATTAACCCTTTGTCAGATGGGTAGCTTGCTGAAATTTTTTCCCATTTTGTTGACTGCTGGTTCACTCTAATGATTGTTTCTTTTGCTATGCAGAAGCTCTTATGTTTAATTAGATCTCATTTGTCAGTTTTGGCTTTTGTTGCCATTGCTTTTGGTGTTTTAGTCATGAAGTCCTTGCTTATGCCTATGTCTTGAATGATACTGCCTAGGTTTTCTTCTAGGGTCTTTATAGTGTTAGTTCTTAAAGAGTTAACTCTCTAGAGTTAGTTAAACTAACTCTTTAATCCATCTGGAATTAATTTTTGTATAAGGTGTAAGGAAGGGGTCCAGTTTCAGCCTTCTGCACATGGCTAGCCAGTTTTCCCAACACTACTTATTAAATAGGGAATCCTTTCCCCGTTGCTTGTTTTTGTCCAGTATGGTTGTAGATGTGTGGCATTACTTCCAAGGCCACTGTTCTGTTCCATTGGTCTACATCTTTGTTTTGGGACCAGTACCATGCTGTTATGATTACTGTTCTGTTCTATTGGTCTATATCTTTGTTTTGGTACCAGTATCATGATGTTTTGATTACTGTAGCCTTGTAGTATAGTTTGAAGTCAGGTAGCATGATGCCTCCAGCTTTGTTCTTTTTGCTTAGGATTGTCTTGGCTATGCAGGCTGTTCTTTGGTTCCATATGAAGTTTAAGGTGGTTTTTTCCAGTTCTGTGAAGAAGGTCACTATAGCTTGATGGGGATAGCATTGAATCTATAAATTACTTTGGGCAGTATGGCCATTTTCTCGATATTGATTCTTCCTAACCATGAGCATGGAATGTTTTTCCATCTGTTTGTGTCCTCTGTTATTTCCTTGAGCAGTGGTTTGTAGTTCTCCTTGAAGAGGTCCTTTACATCCTTTGCTAGTTGTATTCCTAGGTATTTTATTCTCGTAGCAATTGTGAATGGGAGTTTGCTTATGATTTGGCTCTCTTTAAGTCTGTTATTGGTGTATAGGAATGCTTGTGATTTTTCACATTGATTTCGTATCCTGAGACTTTGCTGAAGTTGCTTATCAGTTTCAGGAGATTTTGGGATGAGACGATGGGGTCTTCTAAATATACAATCATGTCATCTGCCCATAGAGACAATTTGACTTCCTCGTTTCCTAATTGAATACACTTTATTTCTTTTCCTTGCCTGAATGCTCTGGCTAGAACTTCCAATACTATGTTGAATCGGAATGGTGAGAGAGGGCACCCTTGTGTAGTGCCAGTTTTCAAAGGGGATGCTTCCAGTTTTTGCCCATTCAGTATAATATTGGTTATGGGTTTGTCATAAATAGCTTTTATTATTTTGAGATACGTTCCATCGATACCTAGTTTATTAAGAGTTTTTAGCATAAAGGGCTGTTGAATTTTATGGAAATCCTTCTCTGCATCTATTGAGATAATCATGTGGTTTTTGTCTTTGGTTCTGTTTATGTGATTCATTACATTTATAGATTTATATATATTGAACCAGCCTTGCGTCTCCAGGATGAAGCCTACTTGATCATGATGGATAAGCTTTTTGATGTGCTGTTGCATTGAGTTTGCCAGTATTTTATTGAAGATTTTTGCATCAATGTTCATCATGGATATTGGCCTGAAATTTTCTTCTTTAGTTTTGTATCTGCCAGGTTTTGGTATGAAGATGATGTTGGTCTCATAAAATGAGTTAGGGAGGATTCTCTCTTTTTGTATTGTTTGGAATAGTTTCAACAGGAAAGGTACCAGCTCCTCTTTGTACATGTGGTAGAATTTGGCTGTGAACCCATCTGGACCTGGGTTTTTTTGGTTGGTAGGCTATTAATTGCTGCCTCAGCATCAGACCTTGTTATCAGTCTATTCAGGAATTCACCTTCTTCCTGGTTTAGTCTTGGGAGGGTGTACGTGTCTAGAAATTTATCCAAATCTTCTGGATTTACTGTTATGTGCATAGAGGTGTTTGTAGTAATCTCTGTTGGTAGTTTGTATTTCTGTGGAATCAATGGTGATATCCCCTTTATCATTTTTAATTGCATCTATTTGATTCTCCTCTCTTTTTTTTCTTATTAGTTTGACTGACAGTCTATCTCTTTTGTTGATCTTTTCAAAAACACAAGCGGCTGGATTTACTGATTTTTTGAAGGGTTTTTTTGTGTCTCTGTCTCCTTCAGTTCTTCTCTGATCTTAGTTATTTCTTGTCTTCTGCTAGGTTTTGAATTTGATCTTGCTCCTCTAGCTCTTTTAACTTGACAATAGGGTGTAGATTTTAGATCTTTCCCCACTTCTCTTTTTTTGTGCATCTCACAGATGCATTCATTCATGCCATGAAGTAAACAGTTGAAATGCGTATACAGTGATGTTCCACGCTCCCCATCTAACACAGCTTGCTCAAATTTACAGGCAGACTGACATTTTCTTTCACGTGTACTCCAAGTAAAGCTGGTTACTGATGACCATGAGCAGCGCTGAAGCTTTTGCAGCCTTGCTGCTTTTATCAGCAGCCAGGATTTTATAAATGATGAAGCCCATCAGCCCCCTTCCTACCCAAATCTTCTGGTAAACTTGGGCTTCATGGGGAGCCACATATTTTTCATAATTCTTTGGAGCATCTTGGAACAGGACAGATCGCTCAGGGAGTACCCCAAACCCACAGCCAACTCAGAAAGGCATTCATTCATTCATTCATTCAGTTAGTTAGTTAGTAAGTAAGTATATGGAGTTTTGCTCTTGTTGCCAGGCTGGAGTGCAATCTTGGCTCACCGCAACCTCTGCCTCTGGGGTTCAAGCGATTCTCCTGCCTCAGCCTCCCAAGTAGCTGGGATTATAGGAATACACCACCACCCTGGCTAATTTTGTATGTTTAGTAGAGATGGTGTTTCTCTATGTTGGTCAGGCTGGTCTCGAGCTCCTGACCTCAGGTGATCGGCCAGCCTCAGCCTCCCAAAGTGCTGGGATTACAGGCATGAGCCACCGTGCCCAGCCGTTGGTAGTGATTTTTAAGGCCAAAACACCCCAGTCTCATCTAGTAACCTGAGGCAGGTACAGTTTGTAAGCAGTCGCTTGAGAGGTTAACACTTTAAATCCCCAGTCATTTATAGTGTCATTGGTTTACTTTTGCCCTCAGGAAAAGTTCCAAATTCCTTTTCATGGAATATACACAGCCATGTTCATTTGGTTCTTGTCAAGTTCCTCAGGCATAGCTCTGACCACTTACTGTATTCTGCCCCTTTGTTCTAGCATCCAGCCAAACTGGACTGCACAGAACTCCCCGGTGCTCTTCCTTCACCTCCAGCTCTTTGTGCTTGCTTCTTGGCTCTCACTGCCAATCTTTTTTTCATGTCCTTCAGGCATCCACTAACCATGCCTCCACCAAAAAGCCTACAATATCGAGACAAAACTGGGATAGGTGTCCCTCCTATGTTCTAATAGTGCCCTGTTTTA